ACGCTCTTGAGCTATTTTTAATATAGTGGATTTATAAGGACAGGAAGAGAGAATGCAGGGAGGGCTGTCAGCTGTAATAGAGGAAGGTGGATTTTCAGGAAGCCAGTTTGTCTAAGGGCACTTTAAACTTTCCAATGCAGTATGTTCAGTGACTATTGGGTGTGGTGAATGTTTGTCAAGCTTTGGGCCTGCCCAGCCCCTTTGAACCTCTTCTTACATTTTAGGACTTCTCCAAGTTATGACACCTGACTTCCTGGGTCTGCCTTCCCTGCTTCCCTTGCAGTTAGGGCATGAGCATGTGGCCCAGGTTCTGGCAACCAGCTGCAAGATATCAGTTTGGAAGCAAATACCATAAAGAAGGAGGTGCTGTGCAGAATTCCTTCCAGGAAGGCTGCTGAAAGACAGACATCCAACTGACAAAGGTAGCTGTGGCACATCCTGGCGATAAAATCCTGTGCTCAGCATTAGGAGTGTGGGCAGAGATGCTTTAGCTCAGTGGCATTGCCACTGGAGGAGTCTGATGGTATAACTTGGACATCACTCTTGGATGGCTAATTTCTGAGCCTGATTCTCTGGCCCTCCAGAAGATCCTGAAAGGGACTAAATATTCTTCAATAAATTCCCTTTTTGCTTAAACTACTCGAGTGGCCTCTGTCTGCAAATCTGACTGATAAAATGAGGTGGTTGTATATTCGGTGGCTTCCATTTTTCTGTTTTAATTGCTTTTCAATGGCTTTCTTTCCTAATCTTCCAAACTCATGCATTATAATTGAACTATGAAAAACAAGAGATTATGTGGATCATTAGGGCCCCATATTAAAGACAATATGATATAAAGAATCCTAAGTATTTACATTCAGGGCAGGCCCATCCTCAGTCTTAAAATTCTCTACATAATTCCACACTTATGATATGCTGTAAACTTGATGAATCCTAATTAGAAAAAGGAATATTTGGCAGATGGAGGTCTTTTTGTAAAGTGGCCTCTTCCTAGGACAGCTCCCTGAAGCCTAGTCACCAGGCTCAGGTCAGTTCTATGTGAGGCCAGAGCCAGTATGCTATAGAAGCTGGCACACGTATCCATCAGACCACCCTTGACTAACACTGGCCTGTGGCTCTGTGTTTTCCTCCTCTAAAACTTCGTCACATATAAAGACACACACACACACACACACACACACACACTTGGTTCTCAATGATAGACTTTTCCATTTTGTGATCATTATTTTATGTATAGATTTTATATCTCTGGTTAAACAGTTAATTCCTCAGAGGCAAGAACCACATCTTGTGTTTCTTTTGTATTTCTCACAGTACTGAGTAGACTGTCCAAACATTGTAAGGGTTTGTTTAATAAATATTTGCCGATTGATTTCTTGATTTCTGTATTGGGGCTGTTGAATCTAAATTACATGGATGTCTCATCACTTTTCAGTGTGTGTGTGTGTGTGTGTGTGTGTGTGTGTGTGTGTGTGTGTGACTCTGACTGGGTGTGTGTGAGAGAGAGAGAGAGGGAGAGGGAGAGGGAGAGGGAGAGAGAGAGAGATCTGAGAGTCAATAAATAACAAACTCCAGTATGGAGTTTGGAGCCAGAAAAGTTGAAGATACAAGTCTCAGCCTTGTGTGAGTAACCTATCTTAGATCGTCATGCATAAATTGGGGCTATAATAATACCTACTCCAAACATCTCTTAAGATTGGGAGCCTTGTAAGAGATAATATATACTTAAAGCACCTTGTGATTATTATCTGGTCCACATGAAATGGGACCAGAGAGAGAAGTGGAGAAGAGACTCTAAAATTAGTCTGTAGAGAAGGAATCACTGCTGACGTGACCCACTGGGTTTGGTTCCATCTGCCTGGGGCCAATGGGTTTTGTAGTACTGGACTATTGGGTTTCCAAGTATATCTAGGTAGCAGGCATTCTCCTCTTTATTCCCCACTCCTAGCCAAAGCCATCGACTCTACCTCAGGCTTCAAAACATCTAAACCTACAGTCCGATGCCCTGTCCCACCTTCTCCTGGGTTCAGGCCCCGGTCCTCTCTTACAGCTTTGGCTGCTTTCTGCCTCTGGTCTCTGACCTCCTCCCCACTTTATACAAGGCAGTTATTGCTCTAAAAGAGCAAAGCTGATTACCTCACTCTTCTAAGAAGCTGTGTTAAATATCTAAATCTACATATCTATGGTGTTAAATATCTAAATCTATATATCTATGGTGTTTCTATATCTAAAGAGGGAAGCCCAGTTATGAGGCTATTGCAGTCAAGTGAGAGACGCTGGGTGTGTGAACTAGGATAGATGAAGAGGTGGGAAAAGATTTGAGAAAGAATATATAAAACTATAAACTCTCTCTGTATTGTTATACAAACTCTGAACCATGGTTATGTCTAAGATTTCTCTATTCATTTATCCAACAAATATTTATTGCAAGCCTACCATGTGACAGGCACAATTCCAGGCACTGTGGTTATGAGGGGACAATATAGAAACAGGTCCTGCCTTCTCGTAGCTCACAGTCTAGGAAAGAAAGAATATATAGAAAATCAGTAGGAAATTCATTAGGGCCACAGGATTGTGACTTGGGAAACTACTTGAGATAAACTGGTTAGGTGAAAGTCATCTGAGGAGGCAACATTTAAGCAGAACTTCAATAAGGAGGAAGAGTCAGCTGGACACAGAGCTGGAGAATAATAGACAGAAGGAAAAGGAAGAGTAAAGACCCTTGGGC